AAAAAAAAAAAAAAAGATTAAATCCATTATATTTGCTGAAATTATAATTATATCATTCTTGTTTCAGCGCTCAGCGGCGCCTCGCACAGCGGCACCTCGCAACTCTATTAATGTATGGAGTGTGCAATGTCGGGATTGCCTCAAGTGGAGGATAATTCCAAACCAAGAAGAGTACGAGGAGATCAGAAGAAAATTTGTTGAAGATCCATTTGTCTGCAGTAAAAAATCCAACGTCTCTTGCAATGATCCTGCTGATATGGAGTATGATAACTCACGTGTCTGGGTTGTTGACAAGCCAAATCTGCCCAAAACTCCTCCAGGATTCCATAGAGGATTGGTGCTGAGGAAAGATTTTTCAAAACTTGATTGTTACTACATTGCTCCCAATGGTAGGAAATTGAGGGCAGGCACTGAAGTTGCATCATTTCTGAAAGAAAATCCAGAGTATAAGGATTTGTCTACCTCAGATTTCAGTTTCTCTGTCCCAAAGGTCATGATGGACACTGTTCCTGTTGATGCAGCAAAGGTGGAGGTAAAGGTGGAATCAAGTGGTGGCAGTAAATGAAAATTTTCACCGGTATAATAACGTTAGTTGCTGAACATTAAGAAATTACCTTGTTATACTTTGGATTTGGATTGGTGTATCTTGATATTGTTTCTCGTTGCTTCTGTAATTTATCTATCATGTTGCAGTTTATCAGCATTAGTAAAGCTTTTCTCCTGCTTGTTTATTCATATGCATTGAATGAAATAGTGTTTCCATGCAAGAAAATTCTCTATTATGTAGGATGCAATAAAGAATGTAATTGGAGTGCAAAAAGTGTCTTAACGGAGAGAGATACATTTTTTTAACATAGCTTTAATGATTTGTGCTATCTTGGAATTCGAATATGCAATTGAGTGCAAATGGCTAATTCTGATACCTTAATTAGTCTCTAGTGATATACATAGATAAACACTGGATATATTATTAAGTTCCCCTCAGGAATTCAACACGAACACGTTTGGTGAAAGGGATGTGAACGGGCTCGTGTTTTTTACATGAAAGACTAGTGATTTATTCATACATGTGCCAAGATTCTTAAAGACTGACTGTAATTTCAGGAAAAAAGGTTTCCTACTACAGAAGTGCTGCATTTCTCAACCCTTGTCTCCATTTTCTCTGAACTTTTCTTATTTGATCTTCTTCCTATTGCATGGTACATGCATGTTATATTATATGCTGCATTATCTGCACCACTTTTGGGTTTGCACAATCTTAATCCAGTGCACTTGTTGTACATAACGAAATGCGAAGTTCACTTATTTAGGTTGTAGTCGTAATATTAGGTCTAGTTTCAAGTTTAGGTAATGATATCACATTGGTGCACAACGTTAAGAACCGTCTCCTCTACAATGTGTGGATGAGTAAAAACTTAATTTTATTGGCGTCTAGGTAGACCAAGAATCTCCATGAACCATAGGAAGCCTTAGAAGTGCTACTTATTGGTGGTGTTGTAGAAAACCTCTTCAATTTTAGAAACCTTATTGAATCTTATCCAAAGCATTGGAAAAGTTAGGCATTCTTCACAAACTAGTCTCTCCTTATGATACCTAGTCTAATCTTAGGTGGTTCTTTTTCCAATAGGGAAACCACAACCCTAGGTTAATTTACCCTAGCCTTTTCATTTAAGAAAACTACCCTTATATAGGCACTTAATTTCTCTTATCTATCTAGGTGATATTTTGTATTAAACTTAAGGGGTGGCTGTAAGCTCTCGTATGGGACAGTTTAGTTGAACTACGCTGATTACATGAACTATGAGACTTACTTCACTAGTAATGTTAAGTCTATTTTAAGCATGAACCGCTGGTTTATGTTTGTTAAGGTCATCTTGAGGTCTTTGAGGAACAGACATTAAAGCCTCATTGCATCTGTGAGACCTTGTATTTCCTAAGTTGAGGGGTTACCTAATATCTTCCTGCCACAAAATGTAGCCTTGACTCTAGAATGTTCTTCTTTTCTTTTAGATTAGTTTACGCTGGAGTCATTAATTCTTAGTTTAGGATTCTTACCGTAGGGTATATAGCATTAATTTTGGGCATTCACACTAGATATTCTATTTTTCCTATCGTAATTATATTTTTGTTGGTTGTCACTGAGCCCATTCATCTAATTTGAGGTGCATAAATTGAAAGGTTTCTTCAATGGTATTATTTTTCTAAACAGAAGACTGAGAGGTATTTAAGGAAGTTATCAAACGATTAAGAAAGAAGAGCCAGAGAGTTTCTATTGGCCAGAACCCTTCTATAGTAATTGAACTATTTTTATTTACTGGTTACTTGAAAGCAGTTACATTTATGATTTATGTGTATCTGCACTTATTGTTCTTATTTTGTTCTTTAACTTAATTCACTTTTGTTTCGGGTATTCAGATTATAATGAACGTCCTTCCTGATTTGATCTTTTGTCATTGCACTTCTATAAATGCACTTGTAAGAGATCCAAATGTGTGAAGACATTCTTTTTTCCATCTCTGGATGCATCTTTAGAGCCAGTTTATTAGACAACTTGAAGAGAAAAGATGGCCTAGAGATCAAGGTGCACATATATTATTTTGTGATGTCTTTGTATTTATGCTCACTTGGTTCCATCTAACCAAGGACCCCAATATGCTTTTGCATGTTCAATAGGCTTTCAGTTTGACTGCTGTAGTTAGAAAAAGATGATCTTTTATCTGTTTTTTCCATAAGAGTAGATTTTCCTCCTTGTCAAGTTTAGGATGTAGTTCTCTAACATTTCTTTGTTCATGCTTATTATGCTTTCAATTGTATTTCTGGTTCATACCCATGCTCTTGAACTTCTAATATTAAACGCTTCATATGGCACTTTTACAGTGCACAAGTATGTCACTGGTCATTCAAGGTAATGAACTAGCTAATTATGCAGAATTAACAAAGTATAGTTAAATGCCCAACTGTAAATTAGAAAAAAAATAGGACATTTGTTTAACATTAGAATTTTCCACCTATGCGGTTGGTACATTTTTTCTCTTTGGCTATTCAGGAAACTTGCCAAAATTCAAATCCCATGAAATTGTTCCATTAAATGTAAAGGAATAGGAACCCAATGTGTTCTAATGAAGCTTCAAGAGAGAACATATCTTGTGATTTACTTCCAAGCAAAAATATTTCTGCATTTATCTCTCATAGTTATAGTTATACACTTATAAAGAAAGTAATAATTATTTTCTGCAATTTAATGCTCCTAGTTCCTTTTTGAGATGTGCATAAATAACAGTCTTTTCTAATTTATTATTTAGCCTATGTTTGGCCCCCATTTTTTTAAAACTCATCTTCAACTACACATTCTTTCATTATTTACATTATCTTACAAAAATGGGGCTAAAAAAAGGGCTTAGTTTCTAATACTATTAATGTAGCAAAAAACTGACATAGGATTCTTTGTTGTAGTTCAACAAAGAAACAATTTGGTGTTGCACATAACATACACTTTTTCGTATCTCACATAAAATTCCATGTCGATTCAAATGAGAGCACCAGAATACAGATAGACGTGTCATTTAACCTATGTGACTTAGTTTCATCCATAGGAAATTCTATCTAAGAATAGGCAGTTTATTAAATTTGCATTTATGCAATATACAACAAGTCAATTTGTACTCACGCGACTTCAAGTACTAAAACTTTATATGCCCCTGTTTGATGGGAATTAAAATTAGATTTTTAGCAGATTTTGATAAAACAAAATTGATAAAATGTGTGGTTCAAAAGTTGTGGTTCTATGAAATATGTGGTTAAAATTCATTGTTGATTTTGATTTAGATTAAAATCTAGATTTTAATCCGTGTCAAATAGGGGCTATGTGTTTTTGCAGTTTCTTTGAGTCGCTTAAATGCGATGAAACTTTACATTTAAATCGGGGAAATTCGCAACTCATATCACTTGGATGTTTAAAAGTTGTATCAATTAATGAACTGATATTTATTTGTATTCAGAAAATAAAAAAGAGAAGCTACGGGAGGATCTCATCTTTCTACATTGCAATTTTCATCATTTCTTGGACATTTGGGTTCACTCGAGGTTTTGAGCTGTGTTGCTTAAAGATGCATGTGTTTGAAGCTTCTTTGTCTTATCCCTCTCAATTTTGAGGAAATCAAAAGAGATGAACAAATTATGATTGTTGGTAGGAAGAACTTCACAAATATGAGGTGCTGAAGAACTGGAAAATTACTGTGCGCCTTTCTTATTGATGATGGCATGACACATTGGTTCGTTTGATGTTCTATCACATAGTTGATCATTCAGTAGATAAAATTATGAGAGATCCAGAACTAAGCAATCATGGAACTAGCAGTAATGTATCATCACCCCATATAAAGTAACTAATTAATTGCATTAAGGTGCAATGATTGACGGTATTGACGGTAAACTTACTATTTTTGAGTTTGGTTATGCATAATTATGGTGGCATACTGTCTCTCTAATTTTTTATGCAACGGACTCTGGATCTTGAATCTTTATATCTATGTTAATTGGTGACGTTATATTAATTTGAGGAGAAAACAAGTTGATCATTCATTACTCATTTTTGTCCATAAAGATTTTAGCATATGTAGAGAAAGAGGAAAATGAACTGTAATCAACATAGTTCAGAGCAAAATGATGAGAATCTAATTGAGATTTGAACCCTTGTCAAAGCCATCATGAAAGCAGAGTCCTTCCTCCATATCATAGTGCATTGGCAGTAAGCTTAGAAACTTCTCCCTCAACAAAGTATGTTTTTTGCAAGACATTCTCATAGTGCAATGTCTCCAGCATTACTATTGTCACGATCCCAACTAGTACTAGTCTTTAAAAACTAACTGTTAAGATTTTCTCTTTTCAGGGCGTGGGAGGTTGCTTATCATATGTATACATATATATACTGATGGTTATTGCACGTGACTCTATTGTGTGTTTGCTAGTGCTTTGGCTGCTTTGATATGCATGCATATTGATTGTGTTCCATGTGCATGGCATTTTTGTGTTGTGCTTTCTGAAATATGGATTTTATTACCTTCCTTTTGAGATAATTTTTTTTTTTCCTTATCCATTCCTTACATGATATTTAGCCTATTTAGATTTTGCCTTTCAGTACTTTTGGAATTGAATTGTGTTATTTTCACTGTATGGTAATTTTCAGTTATCTTCTGATAAATTGTTTCTTTGTTATGTGTTGTTTAATTATTTTGGCTTATATGCTGGTCTAAACTTTTGCACTCTTGCTGCTGCTTGTTCTTCTTATGGTTCTAGTTCCGTTTCTGTTCATTTTTGGTTTTCTAAGATGGAAAGAATTCGAGTCATTCATGTAATTTGTGGTTTCAGGAAGTTTCATATACCTCCTATATATGAAATTTCCCCTCATTTTCAATCTAAAAGATCTTTCTTGGAGCACTAGGTTTTCAATGTTTCAACTGTTTAGTAGTGAGTTGTTGGTTTTGGGGTTTTGTTCTGGGGGGAGTTTTCCATTCATCATTCCTGTGGTTTGTTAGAGTGGGATGTTTTGTTGCTGGTGTAATCAATTCATTTTGGTATAAATACATCAAAACAATAAAAAGAAAAGCGCACCATACGTATACATTCTTTTTTGAAGGGCGTTTTAACTTTATTTTTTGCAATTTCTTGAAAGATGAGTTAACACGTACCTCAAACAATGTTAATTTGATTCTTGTCATTGAAACATCTTACTTTTAGTTATTTTCTCAATTATTTGAAACTAATATTTTTTCTCCATGCGAGGGATATCTTTACAACTCTACGTTAAGAATTATGTAAATTGATACCACTCCTTAGTAAATAAAGGAACGAAATTGATATGGCAATATGAAAATCAAATAACAGCACAAGATTTACTTGGTAAAAGTATACCACGGGACAGAAGATGATAATTTATTAATATCAATAATGGAGGATTATAAATTACTGTGTAAAATGTAATGATTGATTTTTCTAGAGATTTACTCCTCGCATATATAGTACAAGAAGAGCTTAATATGTTGTAGAGTTCGACTATAATTAACTATATACAATAATGGAGTGTTTGGGATAAAATATGATTCAAAAATCTGCCACAAAATGAGGACTATTGAAAGTTTGGATAAGATCGACGTTTGAGCGGCGGTCTCGTGGCTATCGAGCGGTATAATTGAGTAATCATTTCTCGTAAGATCAACAATTCGAACTCATTTATTCACTTTATTACTTTTACGCAACCGTTGCTTGCGGTACACATGTTTTTAGCGAACAACAGACTAACATCATTTTTATAAGTTTAGTAGTCAAAATACGACCATCTCAAAGTTCAGTGAACAATTGAAAACGTTTTTCAAAATTTAGTGAGCAATCGAAAACGTGAAAATTTGTTAATGGCGTGATAGGACGCCATATGTGTATTCCATTAACTTTTCAATTAATTGCTCGTTGACATATAAAATATTTTACAACTTGTATTATTTGTTTCGTGGAGGCATCCCTTTATGGACTGAGGGTCTTGCCCTAATCCTTGGTTTAGGGTTTGCTGAGGAGAAATCAATAAATGTTTATTGAGAAAATAAAAATGAAGAGTCAAAATGAAAAGCATTGTTGTAGTGTATAAAAATGTCGACTCTTTAAAAATTAAAGATGCTCTCTATAACATATAATATGCTCTTTATAAATAAAGAGTGTCTTGGAAATACTCTTAGGATGTGTCTAGTTGGCTTTATTTTCAATGAAAAATTTCATTTTTCTACTGAAGTTTTTATTTTTGGAGTGTGTGACATTTTTTTTCTATTCAAAACATTTTCTAAAAGTAGGCCACGTGACCATGTTTTTTTCTCAAAACCAAAGAAAAAATTTTCTTCATGGAATGATAAGTTTTTATTTTCTAGGCAATTCATACTTTTCAAAAACACAATTTTATAAAAAATACAACATTTTCTAGATTGAAAATTAAGTCAATTGACAATTTTCATACAAACTAGTCGTTGACACGTGCGTTGCACGAATTTTATATTTGTTATGTCTTTATTAGTGTAGAAATTGTAGATATTAAAAAAATATAGTTTAAGATTTGTTGCAGAATCAGCCTTCCTGCACTAAAACATTAATTCAGCAGATTAAGCAGCAGTCTTAGTTTGTAACTGAAAACTACTCCTTCTCTAGAATGAGAAGGCTCATGTGATTGATAGTGATATGGCTACGAAGTAAGAACATCTACTTATAATTAAATTAGAATTTAAATAACAAACATGTAAAACATAAAAAAAGAACAGTTTTGGAAGCTGTCGTTAACAAAAAGTTGTTAACAACTTCTTTTGCTAAGCTTAGCTATAAGTAAATTATTAACTTTTTGAACAATATGCTTATTTAGCACAAGAGCTTTTTAAACCTTAGCTAAACATGTTTTCAATAAAGCGATAAAGTCATTAGAGACTTACCATATTTATCATGTGAATAAATCCTTTGAGACTTCAAGCGAGATGTTAAGACTTTCACCCATTTTGTAACGTGCGTTGCACGAGTTTTGTATTTATTTATTTATTGTGTTTTTATTAATGTAAAGATTGTAGATTTTTCAAAACTTGTTGAAGATCCGAAGTATTTGGCCAAGTCTGGTCTTTCAGTTGATTGTATTATTGTAGATTCCGTGTTTCATGTGCATTATATTGGAGGAGTTAGGAAACACTTGAAGTGAAAGATTAAACAAGAAATCATTTCAAAAAGTTGCAACAGCAAACAAGAAATCTACACTTAATCAAGTTCATAGCACGTGGTGAAAAATCACAAACATGTATAAATATATTTGGGCATGCTGCAAGCAAAGGAAATATAATATTTCTAGTTCAATATCCAACCTGATAGTATTAAATCTCATATGATAGGTTATTTAATGAATGTTTAATAGTTGATTGAGACATTGATCATTCTATTTGATGACTGGCCAACTTTGAGATGTGAATCTGTCTTTTTTATCCCTGGTCGACCCCTGACAAAACCTCAATTAATTGTTAATGTTTTTCTTCCTTTTGATCTAAGATGGTCGCTTAAAAAGATACTATATTTTTATATTGTGGTTCAATTAGTTATGGGATTTCGGATTTATCAAGAATTCTGTCAATTGTTTTAATATGTTAAATCTATAATGAAGAGGAAAATATTCAAAATAGAGAAGTGGGAACAATACAAACTTCTTAGTGGCAAAAGAAAAAGTGTAGAAACCACAAAATCATTGAAGCCAAACAAGAGGGCAGCATATATAGATGAAGTCGTACTTTCCTTCTCCAACCCAAACAAACGTCCTGAGAAATTATCTATCTTGTCACTTCCCCAACTCCAAGCCCCTCCCTGTTCAAAATATGAATCTCCATTAACCCAAATGGATAAACCATGAACATTAAACCATCACCACCACCACTACAACCATCCTCATCATTATCACCATCCACCTCTAGCCATTTGCTCATGTTTGTTTTGGGAGAGGATAATAGAAAAGAGGATACCTTTATATATGACAACAATGCATTCTCTTGTTGCAGCTTATGTCGGTTTTGGTAATTTTGAGACTGCAGAGCAAATTATTTAGGCAATGAGCGATGGGAAGAAAGACATTTACAAGATTCTAACATAGTCAAATTTTGAAGTCTAGTATGAAGATGGTGCATCAAATTTTCTCAAAAGCAATAATGGTTAACATAGTCTACTATACAAGGCGTGGATGTTGGGCAATTTACTATACTTGAGGATGTGAAGTGCTTGAAGACGTCTAGAATCAGCATCCATCACTGAAGAAGCTATAGCAGTAATAGAAGAAATGGGGAACTCAGAAAGCATTTAGAATAATTCAATATAGAATTAACTTGTTAGCTAGAGCTGTGCATAACCTATCTTTTTGACCTTGATGATTGACTATGCGAATAAGATGATGGTGCAATAAATTCAACAAACCTTAAGTCGGCAAAGTCCAATGGCAACGCTCCCGACGGGGATCAACCTGGCTTGTCGATCGTGGGGGTTCGAGGGCAACGCCCCCGACAGGGATCAACCTGATTTCCATGTATGTACTGAAGAGATATAATTAATTTATAAGCAAATTTAACTTAAATTTCAATCTATCCCACTATTATAAATATAAACAATACATAACAATTTATTAATAAGTGAAATTGTATTTAGTTTGTATAAAATGGTATCGCCTAAATTTAATAACAAGAAAAAGAAGAATCGATTTGGAAAAAAAAGGAAGATTTGTATCCAAAGTTTAAAAAAATGTCTCTAGTCTCCGCAGTGCGGAGACTACGGAGACACCATGTTTCCTTGCGGAGACATCATGTTGTTTTTTTTTTGATTATAAGATGTCTCAAACACTTTCACCATAAGATTGTTCATCATTTTTTGTGTGTGTGTTGCATCTAAACTGGGGTTTACTACTGTATAGGAAGCATATACTGCATTGGGTGCTAGTATACTAGACCAAGTGTTTTTTCAGGTCAGAGATGTTGCTCCAAACAAGGTAGAAGTTACAACAATACTTCGTTGACTCAGATCCATCTATTTGCATCGTGTGTGAAGTCAAAATCTAAGATTTAGGGAATGTATTGTTTAAGCTTCAGATTACTAGATGAAGCATGTGTCCGACATCGTTTTTATAGCAGATTGGAGAAAAAAGGATGTGATATAAAACTGAAGGATTGGAGGTGTGAAGATTTGTGAAATGAACAGTAGCATCTCATTGAGTTATTGTTGTATCTACAGTAACCAAAAACAGTCTTTTTTATTATAGTAGGATATGCCTCAAACTTATTTTCTTTAGTGTTATTCCCCTCCTTTTGTGCGATGTATGTTTTGGTCATGTGACACAGCAGAGGTAATCAAACTTCGAGCAAAATCTCAACTAGATCCTTCAGTTTTAATTTGCCTCAATTTTAATTTAATTTCAATCACATATCGTCTCTCAAATTAACAACTACACTACAAAAGATTTCCATTTAATCGTTGCATGTCGCAATATTGTTAAAATAATAAAAAGCCATTTTAACATTTTTATCAAAAGATAACCTCCATTTACCATTTTAGGCGGCCACGTTATTGCGAACTAAGCAATTTTTGCCAATTCAAGATGATAGATGGCAGAATGTGACATCATGATTAAATTGAAATTATTGAAGTTAAGTGACATAATCAAGATAAATTAAAATTTAGCAACTCAATTGAGATTTTGCTGAAAGTTCAGTGACGGTGGATGAAATTTACTAATCACTTTAAGGGGAGCGATGAAGGTCAGAATACGGTGTCGTACTAGGGAAGAACGTCCTCCTCCAACTGCCATTCCATATCCATCTCGCCATCCGTGCGTTATCTCCTCTTCGGTTTCACACAGTAACAACAAACGAAAATGAACACTCTGAGCTCAACGTGTCTCTGTAATCATCGCATTTTGAAATATCCATCAATCTTTTCACTTCCCAGAAACCCTGCTACAAAGAATATTTTACCGCGCAATTGTTTCAGAATTCTCGCGAGTTCAAATGGGGTAGATACGAAGACTGAAGAGGACAGCGAAAATGACGTACAAGAGCAAGGAATTGCAGAAGGTAGTAAGATTTCAGTGGGAGTTACGTCAACCGGTCCTGCGTTCGATAAAGATCTCAAAAAGGTTTGAGTTAATTTCTATCTGTTTTTCAGTTTTTCAATAGGGTTTACTTGATTTTTATTGGAATTTTAATTTGGGTGTGAAAGGAATTTTGAAGGATTTCACGTTAATGAATTGATAGTCGTCATTTTTTCTGATTATATTCTTGGTTCTGTATTAGCTTTCATTTGGAAAATTGGAAACTTTTTTTATCCAGGCAGAAGTTTTCATATGTTGTGCTCGATAATGTTGAATAGAGTTCCTTATAAAGGCTAGGATCAGCATAAATTTGTGTACTGGACGGGGTTCTTTTCCTGAATTTCATCTTTTGACAGGTGGTTCAAAAAACTGCTGCTACTTTTGCTCCAAGAGCTTCCACCGCATCGAAAAATCCTGCGGTACCTGGAACTGTTTTGTATTCGGTGTTTGAGGTTCAAGGGTATGCCTCTATGTTTTTGGGTGGAGTTCTCTCTTTCAATCTCATATTCCCATCAAATGAACCAGACATTTGGAGACTAATGGGCATGTGGTCCATTTGGATGTTCAGTAAGCATTTCTTCATTTTACTACTCGAAGCTCCATAGCCTACATTCTAACGTTTCTGCAAAAGACTTATGGCTGATTGGATGTTCTTTGATTATTTCAATGTCCCGTAACAATTCTTGGATACATAAGGTCATATAACTTGAATTTTTTGAAGGTTCATAGATATCGGTTCTTATATAACCGTAAGGATAATAGTCGAGGAAGTTACAACAGATACATCTTACTAAACTTTATCTCATCTTTTTTTCCTTATTGCTTGCACAATAAGAATTTATCATTTCCAAGGAAGTTGAATATCCCTTAAACATTAGTTCTGAGCCATATTTCACAAAGCATCTGAAATGACACTGGACATCTAGTTGGTGATTGTCCTTCATGGCAGATTCCTCTTAAAAGTATATAACTATTTCAACATCTTCTAGTCCCTATATTTGTTTTATTGTTTATACAGAACTATAGGCGTATATTGATGAGGCTGATCTTTGCTGTTGCAGCTATTCCTTCCCTTCGTGCACGAGACTGCTCAAAGAATGAGAAAGAAGCTCTCAATTATCTCTTTCTCCTTATTCCATTGCTTAATGTCATAATTCCATTTTTCTGGAAATCATTTGCTGTCGTTTGGTCAGCAGATACTGTAGCCTTTTTCGGAATGTATGCTTGGAAGGTATGCATTTAATCAGCACTTCATGTTGGGACCTGATTAAGCCTTCATCTAAACCAATAATTCCTTCTTCATTTTCCCCTTTGGTACAGCTTGGATGGCTACAACAGAGCGAATAGTATATGTATTGAGCACAAGGGGTGGGGTTCTTCCTTCTCGATCCATATGCAGCCATACTTCTCAATTTCATTGCTTATGGTCGATATATAGTCATACTTTTGAGCCCGTGTTGTAATCAAGCAACTTCTCTGAGATGGGTTGGTTAGCATTTTAGGCAAAGATGGATTAATTTCCCAAATGACGGAGTGCGCGGGCACCATTTTCAATATATTACCCCTTAGTTGATGTTTGTGAATTGTTGCATTGCTGTAAAAATAGGCCTACGAATCTTTGTGCCGTCAATAAATATTATAGATAATTAAGCATAAGTTGTGCTGAAATTCTTAGAATTCTAGTAGATGACAACTTTTGTAGCCACAAGTTGAGTAGTTGGCATATTTAGATAAAAATGTAAGATGCATCATACTACCATTAATTTCTTAGTGTCGATTTGATAGAGCGGATCAGGAATGTGATTTGCAATCCACTATGATTCTATGGGGAATAAGTGCAGAGATGAGAAGATGAACGGTAACTTTTGGTATTAAAAGTTATTATTTTACATTTACTCAAAATTTTCTCCACCAACTGTGATTATGCTATACTAATGACCTCTCTATTTCTCCTTTTTCAGCTTGAAAAATCTCTTTTATATTTGCTAGGTTTCATGAAGATTCTGCCATTGTATAATCATTTAGTCCAAGATCAGGCAGGATTTACATAAATATATATTGATTACAGCAAGGGAATAGAACACAGTCGTGAAAAATGGTATTAGTCTATTTGATCCTAAATGGTTTGCGAGAAAGTACTCCTTCCTTTCTGTCAAAATTCGAGAAATATGACTATATATTAGAACTCTAATGTCAAAATTTATGTTCGCCATTTTCTAGTGGATGCTAATATTCGATATCCGATGTTCTCACATCGGTAAATGCGAATAAAATTTATTTGATTAAGTATATACTTGAATATTCATAAAAACTTGTTTTGACCATAAATTTCATGACTAGTGGCTTTTTCTATTATTTAACTACACATTTTTCAAAAAATATCATTTTCACTTGAAAAAATAAATTGTCAAATAAGCTTTTAGTTTCTTTAATACTTTAGTAAAAAGCATTATTATTTATACAAAACTATAAATATAAAAATATTTAATTAAACCAAAATGTTATAAAAAGAAATTATTTGTTCTTTATTAATAAAAAGTCAGCGAACATCGTTGTTACCGAAGTTGGTAAATAATTGTGTCAACGTATAAATTAACTGTGATCAAAGGTTATTCTATTTTTAATAATATTTAGTTAGTATTATGTAACTTTACAAGTCACTTAAACGTTGTGTCAGGGAAAAAAAAAAACTTTTCGAAAGTCACCGAACTTATAGATTTGTTTTATGTTGATCACTCAATTTCAATTTGTTTTATTTTGACCATAACTTTTACTTTAATGTAGATTGTAATATTCTTTATATTCTAAGTATCTCCTACAACTTTAGTGATATCCTAATTCAGCTACCTCCCCCACTCACCAAGTGAGAAACAATTGTCAAGAGGGACTCAAGAACTCTTTGCCCCATCACCTACTAAAAGATTTGCTACCATATTGCTGCACTTCTCAAGGTCGCCTGTCGAGGAGATCCAGCCACCCGGAGTTCAAATTCAATCCATTAGGTTCTTCGATTTGTCTAGAAAAGAAACAAGAAATATTCGTTTAGAATTAAGGAAAATTGTAGTAGCAATTCCTAACCTTGCATAGTCAAAAATCGACGCTGAAAGCAAAATATCAAAAGAATGCAGAGTTGTTTTTTTGGAGCTAGTGACCATGGGAGGACTTTGAGAAACTAAAAAGCGAATGTAATCCATTATCATCTTCAATTGATGGATAATACTGTTCTTATATTCTATCAATGGTATTCTCTAAGGTCAGAATGAAAGACAATTTCGAAGCTAATAATGCCTACTACATTTGGATGGAAGCAATTGCTTTCTCGATGCAACGAACAAATGGCAGTAAAACGTCAACACCATTATGCTAGAGGATAGGTAGTGTCCTCTATCGATTCATCTGTTTCCTTCAGATTTCGGATTTCGCGTGAAAGAAATCCCTGCAACTTGGTTTGTTGACTTGACAGAAGGAAAAGCAGGAGAGGAGGATATTGATTGCATTTGGGGTATCCTTGACCGTGTTTGTCTACTGGTCCTATTGCAGATTTGGAATACCAGTGAAAGTGAGGATCTAAAGGTGTTAGTGATCGTATCTCGGCCGCCAGTGAAAGTGTAAGTTAGTTATTGCTGGAATATTAAGTGCATTTTAGTTATTGCCTTAAACGAAGCTTATAGCACCGACCAGCATTCAATTACTATCAGCCCACCAAGAAATTTCATATCATGCTGGCAATGTTGACACGTTACTGTGGCAACTAACTGCAAATGGATTAAGGATTATGTTTCGTGCTTGGAAATTAATAGCTAGAAAGAATTTAATCCTTTCAGGAACTATTACAGTTTCCGCATACAACTTGCTTCCGACTCCTTGGTTCTAGGTTCATATGCGATGATTGGCTCATGCCACACCCGGCAGCCCAACTGAAGTTTCCATATTATTGGGATGAGAAGTGTTACCAGGCACCACCGGTGAAAGATGAGCTTAAACATTTGAAGGCTGAATTGTGATCATTTCTATTTGACGACGTACATTGTGCCGAGGATTGTCAGGCATAACATATCTTTTGTGTTACCTCGTGGTAAGATGAATAAGTAAGCAATGCTACAAGTATTAGGGAAGAAAAAGAACTATCTATAACCTTCAAAGGATGAATTGTGACCATTCCTATTTGATGCTGTACGCACGTGGGAGATGAAAAAAAAAAATTAAATTAAATTAAATTTTGTTCATTCTACTATCCACGTCGTATTATGTTTATCGTACTAAAATGATTATATTCTTGAGAGCTCGAGTCATACATGAGCATGACATTGTACATCGTGCATAGTTGCATAGACTTTCGTACTTACATGATCTTTCTAGAAAACAAAAGTTAAAATACTAAGTAAAAAAGTAAAAGAAGAAAGCAATATCCACAAAGTTGTTAGCAATTCATGGCACGTTTAGATGTGCTTCGGTAGATGAGAATGTAACTAGTAATTAAGGTAGATAGAGAATTAGTTTAAGTCCCTGTGTAATTTGGCTAAAAATTAGTTTTTTAAATAAATTTTGATACAAATCGATGAATATGTAGTTGAAAATGAATTTCAGAAGATATAGGTGAGAAGCTTTGGTTAAACGTCATATATGCACACGTGGTAGATCGTTTATATGGAGAAAGTCTTAATTGTATTTAAGAGACGATTAGATAGATATATTAAGCCCCTGTTTGGACTCCATTAAAATGTTTTTTTTTTTTTTTGAAAAATGTGTTTTGGAATAATTATTTTTTCGAGAATATGAAGTTAGAAAATAAGAAAAAATCTTGAGTTACGTGTAACATTATTTTATAGGAGAATATGCAACTGAAAATAAGTTTTGAAAAAAATGTATTACTCGAAAAAAAAAAATGGCGTCCAAACATGGGCTAAATCCTAAATGTGAAAAATTAGGGTGAGGTGTCAACGATTAATAGGAGGGACAATTATGAGGACAGAATATTGGAAATGGTAGATCTGGACTCTTATACATTAAGGACATCAATGTAATAAACATAAAAGGTTGGAGGCTCAAATAGTCTGTTTCACAGGTTGAGGACCTAATTCTCTTTTGTGCATAGATTAGGGACCTCATGTAAATATTTCCCCATTACACAAGCCAATGACAATTTTGCACATTTGCCAACAACACGTGATGTGACTAATAGTAATATAATAATAATAGTCGGCGTAGAGTGAAAGGGCCGTAGATACCTGAATGCAGGGCGAATAATCCATCCAGTTGCAAAGGGAGGCTGAGCAATTTGTGAAAAATAAAAACATGGGCTTCTACCACTACTTGACTTTCTTGATTGCACTTTTGTTCTTCGCTATTGCTGAAGCTAATTCCAATGGTTAGTCCTTTTAGCAAATGCCTACAACTACAATTTTCATTATGCTCGCCTTCGATCTTTATACGTATTGTATTGAATTGTTCGTTTTTAGATATCAAGTTTTGGGCTTTCTAACCTTAACGGTTGACATAATCAGGAAGATTAGTTTGCTGCTTATTTTTTAATTTGAGATTGAAATGCACAGGGGTGGCAATTGTGAGGAATATAAATGAACTTGCTCAGGATAGCTATGGAATTCCTGGTTTGTCACACATTACTGTTGCTGGTTCAGTTTTACACGGTTTTAAAGAGGTAAAGAAATCCAATCCTTAAGCCAAGAACAAGAATCTCAAATTTTATTTATTTATTCATTCTAAACTATCAATAATTATAGTTACTTTCCTATTGTGACAGGTTGAAGTGTGGCTAGAGACATTTGCTCCCGGAGCTGCCACGCCGATCCACAGGCACTCATGCGAGGAAGTCTTTGTGGTGCTTAAGGGAACTGGCACTCTATATCTTGCCTCGAATTCAAATCCAAAATACCCCGGGAGCCCGCAGGAGTTTCCAATCTTATCCAACAGTACCTTTCATATCCCTGTCAATGATGTTCATCAGGTAGTGTTTCATTTTAGCTCTGATACATAAAGTGGGATGAGCTTTTGCTAAAATGTTAATCTGACGCATAAAGTGAAAAATAGCAGAAAACGAATAGTTATTTACATGTTCTATTGCAATTAGGCGCTGCAAACTGATAAAGAAGGAATGACATTAAGGAAAGTAGTTTGAAAGGATAACATATGAATCAAGAAACATTTATATATAAAACAGAAGCGCATTTCAAATGGCATTGATTACCTTGAAGGATGGCATTGGAAATTACAAGTCACTAGTGTAATGCTGCTAATTTCATCATCTTCTCCTGTCCCAGGTAGTTCAGTGGAAGGAATATCTGTTGCATCATAAATATTTCACATCTAAATTAAAGAAACTTCTGAGCAGCAAACAAGTGCGGTAGGCTTGTAGGCTCAACATGAGAGATTGTCAGATAAAGAATATAACGGTTTTCCCTGGAATGGACATGGTCGGGTTCTTGCAAGAATCCAACCAGATCGGCCATGCTTCGGCTTTGCACATAGAGAACCGGCCATTTCTGTAGTGAAAGAGCATGAGGAAAAAGTCTGATCTTCAATATAATTATACTAGACATTACAATTAAAAGCATATAACATCACATGAAAAAAGTTCATCCAGCTTTTTGCTTTAGAGTAGTATAATGGTTACATAATATGTTTAGTGGATTTGATACTCAACATGGTTTTATTTCCTTTTTTTGAGATCAGAAAAATCAATGAAATGATTTAGTATATTCTTCATCCCCTTGAAAAGAGACCAACTATTAGATATTCTACGTCTTGTCTTTTTGGTTGTGTGCATTTTATGCTTGATCTCAAGTGTCCATCTTCCACTGAATAGTAAATGCTCAGTTCCCTTTGTGTTTGTCCTTTTGTATATACTGCATTATCACAGTCCCCTCCACTATGACTAAATGTCCCCAAATCTCCATATGTATTGTTCCTCACTGTAGAATAGAGTAAATGGCAATGCTTTTTCGTGTGGGAACTTAGAAGCTTTTAAGAGATCTTGAAGGTTTTCCGATAAATGGAATTTTTTACAATTAGAGGGAGGGTCCATTAATTTTGCATAACTGACAGCAATGGAAAATGTTCAGTTTGTCTAATAATTATATCATTCCAAAGAAGACCTTTTCAATCTTGGAGGTTTTTGCTAGATAGAATTTTGTATTTTAAATGATCTTTTTACGGAGGGATAAAGTCTACAAAGCATTTTTAATGTCTGAGCTGATTATGAGATATACATGCAGTTCTATTGATTTATCGACTTGAAGACTTTTTTGCTTGCTTCTTGCTATTTGTTAAAAATATATAAAGATGTTCAATGATAAAGATAAATGCTATAGAATAATAATAGTATGTTGTCTAGAATTTCATTTGGGATTTGTTGTTGTTCCCATCACAGGTCTGGAATACTAATGAAAGTGAGGATCTACAGGTGTTAATAATCATATCTCGACCTCCAATCAAAGTGTAAGTTATTTATTCCCAGATTGCTATCAATGCATTTTACTTGGTTTTTTTTGGGGTATTTGGCATCAAGTGTACTTGCTCATTGGTCTCAGGTTCATATATGATGATTGGCTCATGCCACATACTGCAGCCAAATTGAAGTTTCCTATTTTTTGGGATGAATATCAGATACAACCTGTGAAAGATGAGCTTTAATGGGTAGAAGGCTGATTTACTAGCGTGCCTAACCTATGCCATACCCACATGAAAGATTGTGACCGTAATAAAATCTATGTTTTTGGAATTGTTTGTATCTTTTCTCAAGAACTAGTTGTTGTGAATGTGCCTTGTGTCAACACAATTGATTTTGGTTTTGAACGCCTCTCCAAGTGAGAATGTCTAATTACAAGGCTGAAAATCAGCCATTACAATGGTCTCGCCTACCATTACATCAATTACACTAATCACTCCAACTACAGTAATCACGTCAACTAAGAAAGGAAAATGTATACTAGTTACAGATTAATTACATATATCATCATATAATTAGACTGTATTATTTCTCGTACTAACATCCCCCCTCAAATTGATGCTGGTCGATCAAGAAACAGCAATTTGCTCACAAGAAATTGATGACGATGTTGAGTCATTGCTTTTGTGAAGATGTCAGCTATTTGAAGAGTGGTGGAAATATGAGGAAGAGTAATGACACGAGTATCCAAGGCTTCCTGAATAGAATGACAGTTTATTTCAATATGCTTAGTACGCTCATGGAAAACAGGATTAGCAGCAATCTGAATGACACTCGTGTTATCAGCATGGAGTGGAGTAGGACTAGATTGAGGAAAATCAAGTTCAGCCAGAAGACCATGAAGCCAGATAATCTCAGAACAAGCAGCAAACATGACCCAATATTCAGATTCAGTTGATGACTTAGAGACACGATCTTGTTTCTTACTTTTTCAAGAGATTAGAGAAGTACCAAGAAATATGCACCACCCCGTGATAGATCGTCGGGTGTCAGGACAACCAGCCCAATCTGCACTATAAGCAGTGAGACAAAGAGAAGAATTTGCAGGAAAAAAAATCCACGATTAGATGTGCCTTGAAGATAGCGAATAATATGACGAACGACAACTAGATGGAGATGACGTGGAGTGTGCATGAACTAGCTAATCTGCTGAACTGTGAAAGAAATATCTGGCCTTGTAATAGTCAAATAATTCAAACTTCCCACTAGTTGACGAAAGAAGGTAGGATCAGATAGAAGATCACCCTTCCCACTACTATACTTTGTATTTACTTCTAAAGGAGTATCCGCAGTAGATGAATCCCGAAGACCTGCCAACTTAATCAAATCTAGCGTGTATTTATGTTGATTCAGGAAAATACCAGATGAATTAGTGTGAACCTCCAACCCTAAGAAGTATGTAAGAGATCCAAGATTCATAATATGAAATCCACCCCAGTAATAACAATATCATCAACATAGACGAATAGAAGAACAATACCAATAGAGCTCTTGCAAAGGAACAAGGAAGAGTCATATTGGCTTTGCTGAAATGAAAAGTGAAGCAAGGTAGACCGAAATTTGTCAAACCATGCCCGTGGAGCATGTTTCAGCCCATATAATGAGCACGCTTCAACTTACAGACTTCTGAGTATGAGATGGAGGTCAGACCAGGAGGTAGTATCATGTAAACGTCATCTTTGAGATCACCATAGAGAACGGCATTTTTTACATCCACTTGATGAAGCTGCCAACCTTGAGCAGCAGCAATAGATATAAATGTCCACACCGTGGTCATCTTGGCGATCGGAGCAAAAGTCTCCTCATAATCCACACCATACTCTTGTTTATTACAGAGAGCAACCAACCGTGCCTTATATCGATCCAAAGTCCCATCAGAGCATAGTTTGATTGAGTAAACCCACTTGCAACCAATGACTTTAACATTCTCAAGGCAATGTACAATATCCCAGGTATAATTGTTCTTAAGTGCACGAAGTTCGTCTACAATCGCCTCCCGCCAACATTCATGTTTTACTGCCTCAAAATACCATGTAGGTATGGGAATTGATGACAAAGTAGCATGAAGAGATGTATGAGAAAATCCATGCCTATCAGGAGGACGAGAAATTCTGGTAGAACGTCGAAGATTATTGTCTAAATCCAACTCATTCATGGAAGGCAATGACTGAGCAGCCTCAGATGGCGGGTCAGGCTTAGGAGGAGGCAAAGTCGGGCATCGTCATTCATACACGAATCCAAGTTTGAACCATTCAGAAGTAGAAGGCAACTCATCAAAGTATGGAAGAGCATGTATCTTCAGTAAAGGCTCATCATGAGTGTGAAAAAAATATTGATTGTCGAAGAAAACCACATGACAAGAAATATGAAATCTATTAGAGCATGGATCATAGCAAACATAACATTTATGAGAAACACTGTAACCCATAAAATCGTATTTAATAAATTGAACGAAATGTTTATTGCGTTCAAGAGGAGGTAAATGAACAAAACATATACAACCAAATGTATGCATGTCAAGGTAGTAATAAGGAGTTTCAAATTTCAGAACTCTGATTAATTAAATGAAATGTCGTAGATAAAGCCTTGACCCAGAATTTAGGTGGAATTGAGGATTCAAGTAATAATGTACGAACAACATCTAATAGATAATGATTCTTACGTTCAGCAACACCATTTTGCTCAGGTGTATAGGGACAAGAATGTTAGGAGACAATGCCTTTTTTACAACAGAAATCATGAAACTTTATAGACATATATTCTCCTCCTGAATCAGACCTTAATACTTTAATAGCCGAAGAAAATTAAGTTTCAACATAAACGACAAATTGTTTAAAGACAGAAAACACCTCAGATTTAGAATGAAGAAAATAAATTCAGGTATTGTTGCTATAATCATCAATGAATGTAACAAAGTATTTATAGTGTGCATGAGATATAACCAGAGTCATACCCCCACATATCACTATGAATCAAATCAAAACTTCTTTTAGCGCAACTACCATGAGAAGGAAAGGAAAGAGAATTACTTTTACCTAATTTGCACGTGGAACAATGAAGAGAAATATAAGATAAAAATTTATCTTTATTGCCCAAAAAACCAGAGTTCATTAAATGAGACAAAACAACATAGCTAGGATGACCCAAACGTTTGTGCCATATTTCACTCTTATTGTTAACTTTATTACAAGCCATAAAATAATTGGTGGAATGGAAAAGCAGAGGAAATAATCGACCAACTTTAGGCCCCTTTCGCGAGTATTTTCCCCGACACCTGATCCTTCACAATTCACCATCACGAGAAAATCGAACATCACAATCATTATCAACCAACTGACCTACATATATAAGACTAATGGAAAGTATAGGAAATACGAGAACATCTTTAACAGAGGAATTAACATCTCCAACAGCATGAATAGGTAACTGACTACAATTAACAATCTGAATGTATGAGGATCCCTTATATGTCTGAATATTGCTAAGAGTATCAGAAGAACTAGTCATATGATTAGATGCACCAAAATCAACAAGTCATGATGAAAATGGTAGAAAACCATTACCTTGAAGCCCTAAGGATGAAAATGCTGAAATAATCATTTGCTGGACCATCTCAGGAGTAAGAACAGGTGAATCACTAGCGGTGGAAGAAGAAGTACCAACTGTAGCCTAATAGGCATGACGATTCTGAGGACGAGTGAAGCATTCTTTAATTGTATGCCTTCGTTTCTTGCAATTGTTGCAATACTTCTTTGCACAGTGGACAACAATATGTCTATATTCCTTGCAGCTAAAGTATTGGACTTTCCGCATGTCTCTACCCTTGCCCGTCCTTTGAGCAGCAAAAAGGCAACTGCATTATTTGGTAGTTTGTCTTGCTGATAAGTGTCCTGTGTAGCAAGACGTTGCTCCTCCCGAAGTAACTCCCCGAAGCATACATCCAAAGAATTCATTAAATTAGATCGAGTTGTCTCGAACTCAGGCCTCAACTTCATCAAGAACTGATCTCTCTTGCTTTACTCATGAACTTCTTGAACTACAACGATAGAAGCATCTGGTATCTTCTCATAAATCATATCTGTATACTCTGCCTACAAAGTCTGAAACCCAGAAAAATATTCTTGTACGGATAGATCGCCTTGAGTATAACTAAAAATGTCAGACTCCAATTAAAAAAGTTGTGCTATATTGTCCTGATGGTAAACTTTTTTCAGATATTCACACATACTCTTAGCAGTCTTATACGACCTTAGATTCAGAACAATAGACCCTAAGATTCAAGTCATAACCCGAGCATCTTTGATCTTTAAGTTCAAGAACTGATCCAATCATAAGCCGAAACCCTACAATCTCTCTCGTGATAGACCATGAAATCCCTGAAAGTGCTCCCCTTCCTCGATACCAGAAGATTCTAATCGACAACGACAAGCGTAGGCAACCACAGTCTTCTCCGACACGAAGAGCCGGAGTCGACGACACAACGAGAGGCGACAACAACAATGCCTGCAACCACAGTCGTCTCTGCTGCACAGAACCGGAGTTGACGACACAGAGAGAGGCAAAATTTTACCTCAACGACTCCACATAGAGACTCCACAGAATTTTGATGGCTACCACAGTGATGTGATCCGTCAGGTGAGTCTCAAGAAATTAAAATACCCAGAATAGTCCTCTTTTAGTTTGAGGCTCTGATACCATGTCAACACATTTGATTTTGGTTTTGAATGCTTCTCCAAGTGAGAGTTCCTTCGATTAAATAGTGTGAGAATGTTTGATTGTAAGGCTGAAAATCAGCCATTACAATGGTCTCGCCTACCATTACGTAAATTACACTAATCACTCCAACTACAGTAATCACGTCAACTAAGAAAGGAAAATGTATACTAATTACAGATTAATTACATATATCATCCTATAATTAGACTGTATTATTGCTCGTACTAACACCTTGTACGTTATTTTTTTGAGAATTTTTTCAAAGGATTGTACGAATGTTATTTTGAGATGTTGTGTTAATACTAATACTAATTGAAGATTATATAGCTTATACAAAGTTTTGAGAAATGAACTTTTTATTAAATGACGAGACCTCCCCATATACAAGATATTTTGTCAACTGAAAAATTGTGATTTGACTATAACTTGCGTTATTTGAATCAAAATTCTCGTGTAATTGAGTTGTTAATGAAATGATGTTGTAGAATTTACACAAATGAAAGTGAGGATCTATGGGTGTTAGTGAAAATATCTCGACCTTCAATCAAAGTGTAAGTTATTTATTCCAAGATTGCATTCAATGCATTTTACTTGGGGTTTTTTGGGGTATTTGGCATCAAGTGTACTTGCTCATTGGTCTGAGGTTCATATATGATGATTGGCTCATGCCACATATTGCAGCCAAATTGAAGTTTCCTGTTTTTTGGGATGAATATCATATACAACTTATGAAAGATGAGCTTTAATGGTTAGAAGGCTGATTTACTATCGTGCCTAAACTATGCCATACCCACATGAAAGATTGCGACGGTAATAAAACCTATGTTTTCGGATTGTTTGTATCTTTTCTCAAGAACTAGTTGTGGTGAATGTCTTGTATGTTATTTTTGAGAACTTTTTCAAAGTATTGTAAGAATGTTATTTTGAGATGTCGGGTTAATACCAATTGATGATTATATAGCTTATATAAATTTTTGAGAAATGAACTTTTTATTAAATGATGAGACCTCTCCATATACAAGATATTTTGTTATTTGAAAAACTGTGATTTGACTAAAACTTACGTTATTTGAATCAAAATTCTTGTGTAATTGAGTTGTTCATGAAATAATAGATGTTGTAGAATTTATATTCGAAATTAGCCCTCGTTTGTCCATGTGTTTCACTGATCATTATTGAAATGAAAGCTCATGAGTTTGAAGGTAGTAGAACATGAAGAATTACTATATTGAGAAATTCAATAATATAGACAATTTAGAACAATGTCACCTATTTCGAATATAAGTTGACGTATGATAGTAGTAGTCAATATTTCAACTTATGTTCATTAGTCAAGTAAGACTCGATGATGACAGCTAAAAGAAAGATAAAATTTATAATACGATTATATCAAGTGCTTATATTTTTCTTTCGAACTTTCAATCATTTCTGATCGAAGCATTTGGAAGGAATACAATAATGGAACCATCAATCATACGAAACGATTTGTATTGCTTTGATCTATGATGCACTTGCCTCTCTTAGAGAAAAATCAATAAACAAAATCAAGGATTTAGAATCCCATCATCATCCATCAAAACCTTTACTATTCTTCAAATATAATCACAAAATGGGTTAATTTCACAAACGGTCACTGAAGTTACGTCAAAATCACAAAACGGTCATCGAAGTTTAAAACTTGCACTAACGGTCACTGAAGTTACGTTTAGTTTCACTAATGGTCACTGAATGACCTTTTCATTTTAATTGGAATTTAATGGACCAAAATAGTTGAATCTTGAACCTTGAGGACCTAAATCACAAATTTACAATAAAACCCCCCAAAAATGAAAAACCAGGAGAATGAAAGGGAAGGGAAATTATGGTGAAAATCATGCTAATATCATCTAATTAATTCTTCCCATTTCTTTGTATAATTCCTAATCTGCTTCTTTATCACACACACATTTCTGGGATTTCTGGGAATTGCAGATGGCAGATGTAACAAAATATGCACCCATCAATGAAAGAAATTATTAAAAGAAAGATCCGAACTTTGAAGTTGCCCAAAATTCCCTATGTTGCTGGGGAGAATTCCAAAAATTTGGTTAAATGAAAGATTAAGATTCTTGAGCGAATTCAAACTCCAAAAATCAGATGACGGATCGGTATTGTTTAGATCCAAAAACTCTAGATTTTTCAGTTTTCCATTGGTGTTGTCAGAAATTACCACCTTGTATATTGGTTCCAATAATGATTGACTTCTCCATCTCCTGTATTTCCCTCAATTGAAATGGTGAAGTGATATTCTGTGAATTCCGTGAAATTTGTTCAGGATCAATAGGACTGCCTCCTTTCCCTTGACCAAAAAGTTGTTTTCCAGGAATGCTCAATGAAGATCCAACACCAAGAGATGCCATTTGCAAAGAAATTGGTAATTTTCAATCTAAACCAGAAGTTTCCAATCTAACCACATTTTCTCCTTTGGCTTCACAAAACAGCCCTTTCCATGAACAAAAAGAGCCAGAAAAATCATACCCTTTGGTGGAATTTACGCCCATTCTTCGCAAGAAATCATAGATAAAGAAATCATATGTATTGGGATTTTGGGAAACAAAGGACCTAAAGAACAGACTGAGAATCAAAATAGAATTAAAGAAACTGAAACTCATTTTTGGATAAGGTCTATAAGATAGAAAAACAAATTGAACACCTCCTCCCGACTCCCAATCTCTCACTTTGCCAGAGCTTCAATACCACCAATCTTGCAGCATAAATTTTTCTTCTGTGACTATTTTCTGGCTTCTGCAACACCCATTAATCCATAACAAAATAAAAAACGAAAACGATATGGTTCAATTGGGTCGCAAAATCTCCTGTGGCTGCAAATCAGACGGCGAATTCATCTAAAAATCTGGTCTGAGTAAAAAATCGGCTCCCATTCTCCAAGAAAGGGTTTTTGGGGTTTTATTGTAAATTTGCGATTTAGGTCATCAAGGTTCGAGATTCAACTATTTTGGTCCAATAAGTTCCGATTAAAGTGAAAAGGTCCTTCAGTGACCATTAGTGAAACTGAACGTAACTTCAGTGACCGTTTTGTGATTTTGACGTAACTTCAATGACCGTTTGTGAAATGAACCCTCACAAAATTGAATAGACTTTCCAAAGTAAAACAAAGAAATAAAAAATATTTAAAAATAAACATGAATTCTAGCTATACCAGTAGCTTTGCAAATTAAAACGCCTGAGCAAGAGATGCAGGGATTGAATGAGCGTCTGAAGGCGGGCCAATACATAATGTTGGAAGCTTTTGGCTCCACCAACGCCCAATCACAGGCCGAATGGAATGATATCTCAATTTCGCAGAAATCATCTGTCATAAAATGATGGAAGAAGAATACTATGAGAAATCGAGGAAATGTTTTTGTATAAAACTCAACACAATGATTTTCAACTCACGTGATGCTTAATGTATCATAGATCATTGGGAAGGAAATGCTATAGCCATACAATTGTGCATTGATATATTCTAAGTTCAAACTATGCAAGCAGCTGAACATTCTAAGTTCTAACCTACTACACACCAGGCCCACAGCCTGAAACTGGGCAGCAGCATCCGACTTCATGAAGAAGAAACAGGGAAAAAATGAAGATAATGAGACATCCATTAAATCAAAACTCTTTTCTTCTCAAACTTGTTTTCAATGACACATTCACACAATAAAATATTTTGCACGTAAACCAAAAACTTTTCCGACTTTTTAACTGCACATTCTCCAAAAAAATCACTATTTTAAAACTCATTTTCCCCCCAAAAAAACTCGTTAAAATAGTTGTCAAACAGGGTTTAGGTAACCAAGTACACGATGAAACTTCAAGCGATACTTTTGCTACATGGAATTACCGACCGCACCAACTCATTCTATGTTCACAACATGCAATAACCAAACAGGTAGAAGACTTCTTATTGCTACATTTTGACGCAGCAGATGGGGAGAAGTAGATCGTGAGTGTATAAACCTTGTAAAGTAAATAAAATCACTGCATGATCATCTCTTTTTTCCCAATGAGCTTCGACGTTCAACTTCTTTCTCAGCAACTAGTACATAAAACTCTGGTCCCAGCATCTCGTGTATATCCAAATTCAAAGACGTGCTCAGATTTACTAATGCCATTATTACTTCCGCAGTAATCATGAAGCCTAAAGTAGAGAGCACTCGGATGGCATTTGCAGTCCTGCATATGTTTTGCCTAGTTTCAAGTGGAGTACATGTCTCAGCTTCATCAGTGCTCGTTGGATTTTCTGAATCAGCATTTTGTTGCTCAGATTTGTTTGATAGATCCTCTACTAACATGGGATCTTTCACTTCAACGTGTTCACCAACCCAAATGTAACCATTACAACCAAGAATCAAGTCAATTCCATATTGCTCCAAATGGTGGAAATGCTGCTTGCGCTTCTTCACCAGATAGGGGGGAATTGTAAGTAATTGACCTCTTTCAAGCTGTAAAGAGAAAAAAAAGTGTTGTTGATTAGTCTCGAATTGCTCATGTTAGAGTTACTGGGACTAGTTAGATTCAATAAAGATCACAAATTAATAAACTCAGAGAGGTGTCAGCACCCCACCCCCACAGCTCTTTCTCTCTATCGAACATACGAATAAATTCATGTACAAATTTCTTGACATGCATGAGCTCTTACACCGTACACAAGGGACCCTTCACTTCCTTCTAAAGGTAATAGATCCTGTATGGTTTGAGAGCATATATCCAAAATGAAATGCCATATACGCACCTTTCCATACTTCTGGCTTCTCGCTTGCAGGTGTAAACAGCCATCATGCTGGAATCCACGTACTTCAGCCTGAATCAATACATTTATTATTAGCAATTTTCTGTCTTTTGCTTCTCTATGGATCAAGGAGGTCAAATATACTCCATTAGGAACTCAGAAAATAATGGTAGATGCAGGGTATGATTGAGAAAGGGCAAACTGAGTCAGTACACCCGACGCAATTTGCATGCATTAAGAGCATAAGAAACTATAAAAACCTTATCTATTGACCAACTAAAAGGGATGGACTGCAACCAGAATGGTCAACAAATAAGAAGAGACAAGTAGCTTACACAGACGACGTCATTTTCTTCAAATATACTGCGCATATTAAGCTCATCAATTGCAGTTCGTCGCCTCTGAAACCAAAAAGCATGGGATTGATTATAGCACAAACCATTTTATAACACAGATTACTTTAGCCAACCTCAATATATAAACCCGTGATAATGAATTTCAAGTATGAGATATGGAAGCAATCATCCCCACATGTATTAAATAAGATGCATTCAAACTCACCAAGCATCAGTACTAGTAACAGCAACTTTAGTTCAATGCGCAACCATTAGAATAGTAGTGCGAGTGTATACAAAAGATTCTCATAGTAGGTGGATCTACAATTCCCATCGCCACATCTAACAAATAATTCAACTGTAACCCAGGATTAGTAGGTCTTACATCTGAAATTTCACTAATCCAGGAGCTAGCCTTGCTCTACATTCCTAGAATCGTCCATATTATCCAATTCCAACATGAATTGCATTGTCCAAACAATGTTTAACATCTTATAACCTCTAGGCAATAGTTAAGAAAATAACCTACAAATAATAATAGAGTAGCCATGAAGCATACCAAATGAAATTAATGTGTGAAGCATATATCACATACGGAAATCATAGCCATAATCTAGCTCCAAGAAAAAAAAAATTGGAAGTAACATTGGCTAAACATGAGGCGAAAGCTCATCTACTCTCAACTTCTAACTTGGAAACGCACATGGGGATGCTAAGTTAGGAAGTAACTAAACTTTCACAGAAATCCATATAGTACACTAACCATGGTCTCTAATACTTCTTCACAGGCTGTCCGCTATAGTTAAGATCGCAAGGTTTATGAAAGCTACCTGGATACCATCCGGTAAATTCATGGAAGAAAGCATCAAAACTGCATCCTGGCTAAAGTTGATCTCCAATCTCCAGCGCTTTGGGGCAACCTTGACATAAAGAAAAAAACTCTCAATGTTTAATGTTTGTAAATAACACAGAACAATAAATCTTTGGCCAAAAAAAAAAAAGATGATGAAAAATACACGTTCCTTGAAATTTATTACTATATGGAGATTATTACACACAACGTCAATGCAAATTGAGTAATTATATTAAGATGAACACTAAGAACTAGTACAAATGGCAACAGAGAGAGAGAGAGAGAGAGAGAGATGGGCAGATAATAAGGGCCCTCAATATCCTTTCACATTACAGGAAACAAGATAGATCTCTGTGCATAGTACATTAAGCCCCCATTTGAGCCCCATTTTCCCCAAAACTCATTTTTTTTCAAAATTCATTTTCGACCACACATTCTTCCATAAAATAATTTTACACATAAACCCAAAACCTTTCCCTACTTTTTAACACATTATTCAAAAAATCACTATTCCAAAACACATTTTCCTCGAAAAAAATGGGGCTCAAATAGGGGCTAAAAGATAAAGAAATTATAGGACTTCTATTTTCACCTCAATAACTCGGCCCACTATGATATCACCAATCTCAGGCTTGTACCTATAACACAAAATAAATCTTAATTTCCAGAAAATTAAATTGATTTCACAAAATTAATAAACTGAAATTTAGTTATTGTACCAAAAAAAAAAAAAACCTGGCCCTCAAAGCCCGTACATAGACGAGCTTATTGACCCGCTCCACAACTCCACACAATGTTGCCACCACACGCCCGTCCAACTCTGCTGTCCCATGTCCCCTTCAATCCAACATATCAAAATTAGGGTTCACCAACATTCAATTTTCTTCATAATTTTTTTTTGAAAAAGAAATCACAACTTTATGTGGGGTGTGCATGACAGCATGAGCGTACTTGAGAATGGCGTCTTCACAGTCAACGGAAATGTTGTCAGCGATGGTGACGGATGCATCAGAGTTGGATTTTGATGAAAGAGATTCCAACTGCTCTAATGCTTTCTCTAGTCTCAGCTTCAGGGTTTTGTTCAATGACAATTGCATGCCTCTCATTGCTCACTGTTTGTGTGGGAAAAGAGAGTATTTGAATCAATAAACTCTGGTAAAACTACAACAATAAGTTAGACAATTTTTACTTCAGAGGAATACAAAACCCTTTTCCTCTCCCACCATTACTCCAATTATTAGCAGGAACAGCTGCACTGAAAGCTCAATTCTTCAAGCATACCAAGCTTCGACGTTTTCTAACTAATGTTTTCTTTGCTACCTTGCTTTTAAGATTATTTTCTACTTGTGCCAAATAAAACTGGAAACTGGGATAATAAGTAATTTATACAAGTTAAAATTAAAAATATAGAACTCTGTACAGATAAGTGGAGGTGGTGAGGGTGCCCATGGTCAGAAGGCACAGTCTAGAGAGCAAGGGCCAGCCTGTTTGAAACTGTTTCTCAGTCCATATTTACCAGTTTTGTGAAAACAATCAGAAGAATGTGAAAGAAATATCATAAAACTAATCTTGATCGACATTCAAGAAAAAAAACTCTTCCTCTTAAAAGCTCAATAAAAATGTGTATATTAGGCCCTCCTTCATTCTATTTATTATTGATTATTCCATAAGTAACAAAAAAATAAAATAATGATAAATAAAAATGTGACAGTAAATTCAACGATTTTATATTTTGGGTTGAGTGCCCATATAGTATAGTTTTGTTGACATAAAAATAACAATATTTTTATATTAAATAAAATTGTTTTTATTTCATTTATTGTATTTAATTATTGAGCATGCGAATTAAAGTACCTATGATCACTTATGATAATACAAGTTGGGTACTTGCATTGAGAAGTACAATGCGACACAACTTATATTTTGATCATAAATAATTTGTTCACTACATATGTATAGGGTTGGCACCTTGTACAGGAAGATTGTAGTGTTGTCAGATTCACTATTCGGATTCGTAATTTGTCCTCATCACAGAAATAGTTAAAGGTGACACTAGTACGTTAGGAGTGTATTGAACAGACCACATGTCGAGTTTAGTTCTATAGCATGACCGTGCAGAGAATTAAATTTCACTTAACAGCGGTGTATTTCATCTAAATCTATTGAAATAGTTATATATATTTTTTGGTGAATTTAATGAATCTTTGATTCATCAATGGGTGAGATCAATTTGATTGATCAAATATCTTGATGAGTTGGGAACTTGAGAATGAGTGAAGTAGAGAATATGAATTCGTGTCGGGAACCGTCGCCCTAAAAAAAGGGTAGAGTGACTACTCAAGTATTTTCTGATAAACGGTTAAAATCTAGTTCAATATTTAGCAACGGCTAAATTTCGACATTTGTGATTTGTTCACATGACCGTTGAAGAAAATGATATTTAAGTTAGTGAGAATAATTAGAGGGGCAAAACGGTCTTTTACTCGTACCAAATTATCGAATCTCGGACGGTAATAAAATACATATACGTCATGTCAGAGAAAAGTATTACAGATTTATTAACTTATGTGATCTTCTATATTCTAAGAGTTCGGTATTTTGCCTTTAGTGGAGAAAATAAAGACTAATAATTAATTGTATGGTCTATGGTCAACTAGACAGGATCTAATTATTGGGGCTTGAAAAATATATGCCCGATTAGGTCCCTGTGGTAGCTCTATAAAGTAATTGAACTTAATTACGGTAATTATAGCAGTTTTGAACTTAATTGTATTTACAATAAAGTTTTGTATTTACTTGTAATTACTATAAAAGTAATAAATTTAATTATAATTGCAATTGAAGCTCTAGGACTACACATGTACTTAAATGTAAACTAATTGAATTTGGACTTTAATTAAAACTCCTACTTAGATTTTAATTAAAATTTGATATTGGAATTATTATTCTACATAGATTGAAATATCTTTTACATCTATAAATAGAAATTAAATGGACATAAAAATCCTACAAGAATCATAATACATAATTACGTAGTGTTCAAATTTGAAGAGGGAGAAAAAGTGAGAAAAATAATATTTTCTTATTGTCGAATCCAATACTTAATTTCTTGATTTAATTAAAAGAAGGTACCCACTCACCAGTGTAGTCTTGAGTTTGGAGACTGTCATAAAAGATTTGGAGGTTTGAAACATCGAGCTCTTACACAGGGACGGAGCCAAAAAGATATGTTAGGCGGGGCTAAAATTTGCATTTGACTTTCCGATGCAGAGCTTTCAGTTACGGAAAAAAGACAAGGTAGTGGATTTAAAGTTTTATGAACCAAGAATATGAAAAAAAATCTGTATTCTTGATCTGTGGAGAATACGAGACTTTAAAAAAAGAGTGCTCTAAAAAGTTCTCTTTTTCATCTTGTTGAAACTTATACTTAAATATGGTTTCTACAACGATTCAAAAGTCTATCCTTTTCAGCCACCTTATCTTGTACCTTCCTTCAGTCGTCATAAATTATCCACCTTGGTTGTGGCTTCAAAGAAAAAATCTAATTCAAATCGATTAATTGTGTTGTGTTAATAGTTGTGGTGAAGGATTTAGTTCTGCTGAGAGTTAATGCTGTGGTTCTAAATGAAACAAGATTTCTAACTGGCTTTGCAATGCTATAAATTCAAGGCAACCTTTATTTTGCATTATTGCTACACTACGGAGATCCAAGACCATGATGGCAAACCAATTATTTGCCAGACCTTATTCTTAACTTCATGTTGTTATTGAGCTTTAGCATTACCAATTAACACAAATAAATCATATTTAGTCTTTGCTGCTAGGCCAACTCTTACACTTGTTGACCGATTCAAGTGACATTTATTACCATCTGCTCATTACGAGAAACGACGGGCTCAGCCAAAAGAGTCTGTAGATCTCACTATGCAGACTTGCTGTAGAATTGGTACTAAGGATACACGGTTAGAACACAATCACAAACTTATGCCACATAGAACCTTATGGAAAAACATGATGCATGGAATTTACTTCTAGGCAGGGGTGGGCTATAGCCCATCCCTGCCCCCCCTCTCCCTCCGCCCCTGCTCTTACAATTAAAAGACTGGAAGCTCGTGATCCAAAAAGTCGAAAGTTTGTGACGCAGATCCATTCTAGAATTGATTATCAAATTTAGGTAAAAATTCGAATCTCTAATTCTTGTTATAACATATATGTGAAACATCTAGACGATATTGAATTCAAGAAAATTTTTAATTTCTAGATAATTCACCTTCCGCATTCCAACACTATATTCACAAGTAAATATCAATAAAGAACCACATTTTATGGAAAAATCTCAATATTTGACGCAGTTTGTAAAATGCCCAAGGCATTGAGGAATCAGGGAGAACAGATTTAAAATACAAAGTCACAATCACCAAACAACTGCATACTACAATTTCTTTTTTATTCTTCGAATTTTGTTTCAGAAACTATACAAGATCATAACCGAATTGAATTAGCAAAATTTTCTTAAATCCTAGATACTATTTTTCCAATTAAATTCTTCAGAAAATTATTAGACAACCAACAGCTATTGGATGAAATTGTTAAAGTAAATGGCGTATTCATCCACCCTTCCTAAGTATGCCAGAAAAAAATCAACATAATAAAAGAAAAATGCAATTCTCAATATCCGTGACATGCTTCCATTTCCGACAAATGATTTGTTGTTTTACTTTCTTGAAGCCAATAACAAAATTGTAACACGGTATTAGCTCATTGAGTAAGAGAATAAGTACCTGAGTATGGCAGAATCACAGTGAAGAAATCAGAAAGAAATGGGAAGAGAACGTGAAAGCGGGATGGTAGGGTTTTAGATAGGGGTGGGCAAAAAAACTGAAAAACCAATCAAACCAAACCGACTCGGTTTGGGTGGGTCGGTTTGACATAGTTAATTGGTTTGGTTTGATTTTATTTTAAACAAAATCACAGCGGTTCGATTTGGTCATGGTTTAATGTATCAAACCACTGGTTAACCGACTCAACCCACTTACACATGTTACCATTTTTTTTAAAAAAAAAAAAGTCAAAATCAAAAGCTTAATAATGTTCT